AAAGGCAATTTCTGATTTTTGACCTAGAAAATGGTCAATTGGTTTAAGGTATGATCTCAAAAGTCCAATTGCATCATTTTGACCCAATGACATGGTTCAAAACATTGCAAGTCCATTGGATTGACAGATGAATTTTTCAATCAATTGATCAAAAGTCAACTGTATACTGAAAAGTCAAACTTTGACTTTTTGGTCAAATTCAAGTGCCAAAGATCACAATTCATCAAAACATGTCAAAATTTGAAACTTGTTCATAGAGAAATCAAAAAGTCAACGTTTCATTTTGAAAAGTCAAAATTTCTAAACTTAGAAATTTTTCCAAGTGTTGGAAATTTCTTATTTTTTCATAAGTTTGAGTAAAATTTTTACCATGATGCAAGATGATTCAAGAGAAACTTACAACATTAAAGTTATATATATCCATGAAATCCACAACTTTTCTTCACACAACTTCTTCCAAAAGTGCTTGGATCTCAAGTTATAATTTTATGAATATGTGGTCATGAAACAAAACACTTAGTGAAATTTTGCCCTAATTTGGTCCGGATTTTGACCCAACTTCACGGCACTTTTTAATATAGATACGAGGGGAATATTAAAAATCAATTCAAAGATGGGTTGTAGATCACATTTCAATATTTCCAAAATATCCAAGAACTCATTGAGATCATTCTTGAGTAGGGAGAATCGAAGAGATGAAGTTAGAGTTTTATCACTTTAATTACAAGTCATTTTAGTGATGAACAAAATTCAAATTCAAAATTGTGCTGCATTAACTCTGCTTTGCAGGCCTCAAACTTGTTAGGAACTCCATAATTAATAGTTTACACAGCTGTTAGAGGTCTCACTTCAAGCATTCAGTGCATGGATATGCTTTATATTCATTTTTGGAAGAAAGATTACATTGTCATTTTGATAAAGTGACTTTTTATACAAAACTTGTTCTTGAGCCTTGCACTTGTTCTCTTTTGATCAAGCAAGTCCTATAATTCATGAGAAATGGTTTAAGAAACTTACAATCATCCATCTCATGCTTGTACCTCCTCTTGAAACTTGTTTCCCCCTTTTCTTCAAAATCAAGTAACCTAGCCAAAAGCTAAGAACTTGTACTACTGACTTGCTAATGCACTCCAATATTTTTGCTTATAGATACACAAACTATTTTCACCAAAGACACGAATGCTTGACCCATGAAAAGAACTAGAACTCAGAATCACACTTCACACTTCCATTTTCACACAAACTAACCAAAAACCATTAACACCATCCTCCATTTCCAAAAATAGAGTTCTGCACATTTACTTCTCCAGACCATTTCAGCCATCCATTGTTCAAGCTAATCATTGCATTAGCTTCCCGGGACCTCAAGGAAGCTAACCTAATCATCACCATCACTTGAAACAAGCTCAAACTCAAAACATGATTTCCAGCTTTGAGGTAAGTTTTCTTAACTTTGAACTCTTCATATAGGCATTATCAATGATTTATTTATGAATAAAACATGTAGATATCATTGCCCTAAAGCTAACCATGTCTATAGTTTCCATTAATTTTGCTTGAGCTTAGAGAATTTTGAAACTGAAATTTCTGAGATTTTTAGGGTTCAGATTAGGGCCATTAAAATTCATGCTTATCTTTGATCTATAGTTTTAATGCTTTACATTTCTGAAATTGTGAGAAAATTTGCTACAAGTTTCATGTTTACAGTTTTCATTTTTGATGAGAAATGAGCAAGTTACAGTTGGTCTGGCTGGAGGTTAAAGATGAAGTCATCAGGGCACGTTTTGCCTTGTATATTTATTGATTTGCCTATGTTAACGGATGTATAGCCACCCCAGTGGTAGAAGCGCGTACATGTAACCTTTAGGACCTGGGTTCGAACCCTAGTGGTACCCTTTTAATTTTTTTTCCACATTTTGCTTTCTGATTTTTGTCTTTTTGGTAGGCGTTGGGCCTCTTTGGGCCTGGCTTGTTTTTATTTTTGCTAGCTAACCCCTTGCAGGTTGTTTGCGCCCCTGGCCCAAGTTTATTTATTTTTCTGTTTCTATTTTTATTTATTTCATTTTTATTTTCTTAAATATTTTTCCTAATATAAAAAAATCACAAAAAATTAGATTTTCATTTTAACTTAGTTTATTTTATTTTTCTCACAAAAAATATTTTATTAACTATACTTTATTTATTTTTATTAACTAGTCTTGTAAATTTAATTAAAACTATGTTAGTATTTATTTTTCTGTTACACCTATTAAAATATATTGATTTATATATAAAAAAGGCCAAAAATATTTTATAATGCTATAAATATTTTCAAGACAAAAATATCAAAAAAATACTTTTCTTAAACTTATTTTCTTTTGATCAATTAATATAATTAGGGTTTTATTTAAAATCTTTTCTTAATAAATTTAAGTTTAGTTAATTATTTTCTTTAATTAATTAGGTTAAGACAATTTCCCTTTTTCTCATGAAAATCAAACAAAGATCCATTTTCTTTATATTTTGCATTTTTGTACATTTATTTATTTTATACTTTGTATTTATTTATTTCCTTGTACATTGATACCAATTCAACATGGTTGTAATAGATTAACTAGGTTTACATTTTTGCAATCCCCATTCAATTTGTACACCCCCCTCCCACAAAAGTTGTAATAGTATAGTAACTTTAAATTCCGCAATTTATCGCTTTTATACATAATATGCTAGTAATTAGGGTTTGTATGGAAAGACTAAAACCAATACTTAGAAAACTCTAATTCAATACAAAAACAAGCATGAAAACAATAAACTTGCACACAATCACCCCTAGGGTTATTCCACTTGGTTGCCTTATAAAAAATGGCCATATTACGCATGTAAGGTATCTTAGCAAAAACAAGCAAATATAAGATCATAGTCCCTCGATGACGCTATCTAAGTTGCCTTTCAAATGATCTTAGTCCCTAAAAAAGAATGCTTAGATACCTTGCAACATTTCTAATCATGGTTATACGATGACCCACGCCCGGCCCGTTCACATTCAAAGATAGGGTTATTTACCAAATCAATGGCAAGATAACAATGTCAAAGGAAAAGGAAAATGAACAAGAAAGACTTTTGAGTAGGTAGAATGCTCCTAATTACTTGCTTAATTTCAAACAAACATCCTTGCTATTTTCAAAACAAACACTTACACTTTCAAACATCTTACAAACTTGAAAACATTTTCAAAAAGATCAAACATCTTTGTATACATTCTTACAAACAAGAATCATTACAAAGATTGCCTAAACAAAGGCCTTTTTACAAAATACTTTCAAAAACCACACCAAGCACAATATCAAACAAAAGCAAGTGATCTATCAAGTAACTAAGAGCCCATGGAAAACCATGGATGAAAAGGGTGCTAATACCTTCCCTTTTCATAATCTACCCCCCGAACTCAAGAAATAATCTCAAAGGTCTTTCATGTGCTTTTTACCTTTCCTTTTGGATAAAAGAAAAGTCGATGACGACTCTTGCTAACCGCAACATTTGCAATCAAACGCAAAACCCTCAAGTCAGTTCTCCCACCGTATCACAGGATGGATTTGCGTGATAGCTTCTTGAAAAGGTATAGTGATGTTTAATTGTTTCAGAAGTTCAACAAATTTCTTAAGTTGCCCTATATTTTTAGATTTAGCTAAGCGTTGAAGAATGTTTTCCTAGCACAATATTTTCTGCCGAGTAAGACGGTTATAATAAGAGCCAATATCAATGGTTTAAAAAAAAGGAAAGCGAATCTCTTTTCGAAGCATAGAAAAGATACAAAGACATGTTACGACTTTGTCCATATCACAGTCTAGAAGAATGGTTGATCATCCATACCTTTTACAATGGTCTCTTGTATAACACAAGATTAACGATTGACGCTGAAGCTGGCGACACACTGATGGATAAACCTTATCATGACGCTTATCATATTATCGAAAGTATGGCTCAAAACCATTACCAGTGGGGAAGCGATAGAACCATTATAGAGAAACCTTAAACGAATGGCGGTATGCACGAAGTTAGTAGCTTAGACCAAGTTAACGCTAAGGTAGAAGCTCTTACCCAAAAGATAGAAAATTTGACCACAAATCCCGCAGCCACCATGGCTACAGTAGCTCTAACCTGTAATTTATGCGGACTTCACACACATGCTGCACCCGAGTGTCCACTTTTAATAGGAGTACCAGTTGATCAAGTGTATTATACACCTATAATCCTATCTAGAAGAACCATCCAAACTTTTCGTACAAGAATAACAATGCATTATATGCACCTGGGCAAGATCCTACTACACCACCAGGATACCAGAAGGCCGCCCAAATTACTCCAAATATTCCTAGGAAATCCAATATAGAGATCATGATAGAAAAATTCGTAGCCACTCAAGCTCAACAAAACAAAGATTTTCTAAATCAAAACATACACACTAGTGAACAAATAAAGTAGCTGTCAAACAAGGTTGATTCCCTAGCCACTCTTAACAAAATTCTTGAAATGCAAATCTCTCAAGTGGCTTAACAATAAGCAGTTATAGCTGCTCCAACTGGAACTTTTCCTGGCCAACCACAACCAAATCGAAAGGTAACGCAAATGGTATAATACTTTTAAGAAATGATGTTGTTGGAGATCGAGCCCGTGACCAGTTCCATTTCCCCCTAAGTTGGCAGTTCAATCACAGAGAAAAGTAGTGTACCTTCCATGACATCCTTCTTTACCTCTGTCACCAAACCGAAGTAAAACCCTTATTGCAACAAATGTAAAATTACTTATTCGTATTAGTGAACCCTAAGACGAACCTAAACAATAAGAGGTTATCACTCATTATACTTTTAAGTAATAAAAAAACTTGAATACAAACTTTCAATTCAACAAAAACAAATTTCACACCACACGATGTTTTTATTTAAAGTAGAAATAAAATGAACACGCGTTGTTTTTTTATCTAAAATAGAAATATAACACATAGATAAGATTATAATTTATGCTCAAATTTTCATAGGATCAAGAAGCAAAGCTTTGATGAATGCCTTCATTTCTCCTTCAGAATGTGTGAAGTTATCTTTATCTTTATAAACGACATCCATAAAACGTGAAAGGTTTATAATGTGTGTTAGAAAAGGCCTTGGAACATCAGTTGGCATAAGAGATTCCTTATTGATATCTTTCCAAGCATCAACTATTCTCTTTCGACCTTCTTGAACTACTCCTTCCCTAGAGACGTTATATTGCCTCATATAGCATTCCAAGAACGAAGAAACATGGTCTCTTTTCTGATCAAACTATATGCAAATGATACCAAATCATGTAAATGCTTACAAGGTTTGAAATAAAACAAGTATGTTTTAGACAAGATTCTTTTATAGATATACCTCGTTTGACACAATGTCGTCCATTAGTCTACAAAGGACAATAGCAACATCAATTACTTTTGGCTTATTGGTTAGCCACTTGAAGATATCCTATGTAGCTATATTTCCCATACCAATGTAACATGTTGCGGTCATCAGACAATAACCAGATGATATTGCTGATACACGAATGTATTCTTCTAATGTTGGTTGGTAATTGTTGTTTAACCATCTAACTTCAGCCATATATGCTTGAATGTATAATATAAACTGCAACAAGAATGCATGTACATAACACATATTTTTATTTTTATTTTGGCGTATAATTGTTGTTTTTAATCGAAAAATATATTTACAAATAAGTACAATCTAAAAGTGATGCATAACATTATCAGGAATGATATTCTTATATTACAATTTACACCAATACTTATATCAAAATACTATTCAGCTTATTTATACGGTGAACAGTGTTTTTTTTAAGATAAAAAAAAAATATTATGAACAGTAACGTGAACAGTATATGAACAATGACTTGTGAAAAGTGACCATGAACGGTATTGCGAAAAGTGACTTTTAGTGATGAAAAAAAATTGGTTAATGAAGTATAAAATCCTGATTAATGAAGTGATGAAATTTGTTAATAAATTTTCAGATATTAAAAATAATTTTTAGTAAAACAAAGTTGGTTAATGAAATGATGAAGTTGGTTAATAAATGTCAGATATTAAAAGTAATTTTTAGTATTAAAACAAAATTGATTAATAAAATATAAAAAGTTGATTAATAAAATAATTAAATTGATTAATCACATAATTTTAAAAATAAAAAAAAATTATATTTTAAAAAAAATATTTTTTTATTATTATAATATTTTACTATTTCGTATTGGTGAACAAAGAAATATAATGTAAATGTATTTATTGATGTAAGAATAACATTTTTCTATGACAAACAAAATAATATCATGCAGACTAATAAATAATTAATTAATCACATATGATTAATTAATAATAAAAAGATAAAAATCTATACTTAATTAGAGAATCACATAATTAGTAAAAAGAAGATGAAAGATCATACTTCATTTTTGTAGTAGTTCATTGCATACACTATTCCTTCATTTATCGCTTCTTCCTCTATTTCTTTGTTAAGATCAAATAAAATTCTATAGAGAAACTTCATGTAGTCCGGAAGATTATCCAAACCACAAGTATCCCATCTGAAAAATAACTTTCATTAATTTAGAAAAATATATAATTGAAATATATAATTAATAACCAACCTTTCAATTGCCTTAGTAAAAAGTTCTAATTCATCAATTGTTCCATATGCATCATATGTATCATCAACCATAGTAAATATGAAAATTAATTTTGTCATAAATATTCTTGCAGTAGAATATTGAGGCTCAAAATATATTCCCATTGCCCAAACATAGCATTCTGCCATCCTATCTCATGCATAAGGTAATTTATTAGGCACATCCAAATTATTCCACCATCTGTAAGGCAAAAACAAATAATATTAATCATATAGACTACTGTTAATCACTATAGAAAAACTTTTCCTTGTTACAAAGGAGTGTAAGATGAAAATCCTTACTTGCAAATATTACCAATTTCTTTTTGATGTAGCTTTTTGATCATGTTAAAATCTAATTTTGCCAAAACGAGTAAAGTTTTATTATTGGAAGGATCTTGCTCGTATTTGGAAATGAATCTATGTGTTTCAAGCCTTTGCAAGTTCTTATGGAGAGTCTGCCTTAAGCTATATTTGATTTGTATTGCAAGAGAATGGCTTGATTGGATGGCAATGGACTCAAGGTGAGTTGTAGTGAAAGCCAAATCTTTTTCCAAAATGTCTTCTCCATGAACCATTAATTGTGTTGCTTCTTACAAGCTTAGCATTCCCTCAACATCTTTAATAAGTCCTTCACTGAATTCTCCTTTTTCACTCTTGAATTTGTTGAAAACATCTGGTGTGTTTATCAATCAACAACAATATTGAAATAAATTAATGTTTAGAAAAGCAACATAATATAATGACCATAATAGATTATGAAAAAATATTTAAATTATTTGTGATAAATTTCAGGCCTGATACGGTGTCCGTCTTGCATGTCTTCAAAGGAGGACAACTATGGTAAAGTGAATGGGAAATTTATCTAAAATTAAAAGAACCCACCACAAATAAGCTGAGTATATTACTTGGTGAAACATGATGTCCTTGTTGTCTTAGCGACCTAAATAGCACACTGAGAGAGCAAAGGTTGTCATTGAAAGTTATTTCTCCATCTTCAACATTATTCTTGTAAATATTTTGCAAAATCTCCTCAATCTCATCTGCAAAGTAATAACTAACACCCAAGCGGCATATTGAATCAATCAAATGAACTTTTTCCAAGGCTTGGGCAGACTGCATAGAGTAATTTTTGATTGTATTGGGCAGCATGCATACTTAGGATATAGCATGGCACAAGCTTTCTTGCAGGGCAGCATAGTGTGTTGCGGCAATGTGATATCATATTTTCTTCAACTTTGGACAGCATAGTTTGTAGCATGTCACAATTTTGGGTCTTGTGGAATATTTCATGCACATTATATCAAGGGCCAAAACATTGTGACAAAGTCTTTTGAGAAAATTCAATCAAGGCATAGTTGTAGAATTTGTAACTTAGTAAGAATGCCACTTTGTAATAACTTGAATTACTTGCACCATCTTGAATTATTTTATAGTGAAATTCCATGAAGCAAATGAAATTAACCAAGTACAGAAAATACTTAGAAAAATTTCAAAGTCTTGCAAAGTTGGATTTTTGATTCTCTTGACCTTTGATGATCAAACTTCATATTTTTGAATGTCTTGATGAAATTTGATCCTTGGGATGTAATGTTGACCAAAAAGTCAAAGTTTGACTTTCTAGTATGCAATTGACCATTTTTCCCTTTTGCCAATTCCAAGCTTAAATTGATGTATCAGTGCTGCAAATTCGATGTCACAGAAGATCTTGTGAGAAAATCCTTGAGAAATGAGAGGGAAAATTTTGGGGTACAACAAACTACAACAATAATATATATAAAACTCTAAACAATAAAAAACAATCTCAATCTCACTCAATCACAACAACATATAACATTAAACAACAACAAAAATATATTACCATCTGAACAAAATATAACATCCAATCACAATCAAAATAACAAAGATCAACATTAAAACTCAATATGTCTTCTAACATCAATAACGTTAAAATATTAAACATATTGTAACTGTACAAAAGAATAAGAAAAAAAATTCGTGTACCCTTGAAGATTCGTCTTTCCCCTCCTTGATTCGAACTAGAAATGGTGGAGTTTGCTTGCTATCTTTATGGATATTAGTCCTTGTTATCGCCTTCTTCTGTTCTAAAGGACTTTTGCTAGGGCATTGTTGTGTTATGAAGTAAATAAAACTAAAATGTGTTATATTTTAATTTAAGAGAAACACTTTTCACCACAGTTGGAAATAACAAATGTAGTGATATATTATACATGTTACCATGGTTTCTCTTCCCAACCAGGATGAAATGATATAGGGATTTTTCTACAAAAGTTCAACAAGCTCGTCATTCTCCTTTTTACTAAACTTAATTCATAGCCTTCAAACTTCATTTTCCATTCTTCAAAAGTTTATACAGTATATTGAAAAACTTGGTTTAAATATTAATGTTAAGTTTCACTTTATCAATTAAACAATATGTTTGAACCTTAACATTGATCTTTAGTGCTAAAATTTTCAAGGAAGTAAAAATGAATGAAGATACTGCATACAAAGCGTCCATGAGATTGTAAACACTCTGACTATTTGTAAAAACTGCGACTGTATGTAAAATCTAAACTCTCTGTAAGATTGTGAAAACTAAACTCCCTATGATTGTAAAAATGAATGCCACGTTTCACCATATATGGAAACAAATACCGTGGTGAAAAGTATTTAGTTTTAATATAAATATTAAAATAAAGGGACACGCCTTTTTTGTAACGAAAAAATAGAAATATTTTGGTGCTTGGATTTTTAGTGTGTCACTTCTTACCTATCACTACGTTTGTTAGTTTAAACCGTGGTGAAAAGTTTTTTAATAAATAAAAAAATGAAGGCGCTTAAGTATGAGTTTTTACTTCGGTTGATTAAATAGCTGAAGTAAGAAGACTCATTACGAAATGTATATTTTGTAGTAATGTGTTGTTGATGAGAAAGATTCCGAATTTTATCAACATCTTTAATTCTTTCCACATTGAAACGAAAAGAAAACATGGTAAAACAAAAACTATGTAAACACAAATGAGGTAAATAGTCGCATTGTGTTTAAAATTCAGGTGTTGTTGGAGATCTATTCCGTGACCAGTTCCATTTTCCCCTCAGTTGGTAGTTCAATCACAGAGAAAAGTAGTGTACCTTCCATGAAATCCTTTTTTACCTCTGCCACCAAACCGAAGTAAAACCCTTATTCCAACCAATTTAAAATTACTTATTCGTATTAGTGAACCCTAAGACGAACCTAAACAATAAGAGGTTGTCACTCATTATACTTTTAAGTAATACAAAAACTTGAACACAAACTTTCAATTCCATCAAAACACATTTCACACCACACGTTGTTTTTATTTAAAGTAGAAATAAAATGAACACACATTGTTTTTTTATCTAAAATAGAAATATAACACACCGAAATATTACAATTTATGCTCAAATTTTCATAGGATCAAGAAGCAAAGCTTTGATGAATGTCTTCATTTCTCCTTCAGAATTTGTGAAGTTATCTTTATCTTTATAAACGACATCCATAAAACGTGAAAGGTTTATAATCCGTGTTAGAAAAGGCCTTGGAACATCAGTTGGCATAAGAGATTCCTTATTGATATCTTTCCAAGCATCAACTATTCTCTTTCGACCTTCTTGAACTGCTCCTTCCCTGGAGACGTTTTATTTCCTCATATAGCATTCCAAGAACGAAGAAACATGGTCTCTTTTCTGTTCAAACTATATGCAAATGATACCAAATCATGTAAATGCTTACATGGTTTGAAATAAAACAAATATGTTTTAGACAAGTTTCTAATGAACTTTTATAGATATACCTCGTTTGACACAATGTCGTCCATTAGTCTACAAAGGACAATAGCAGCATCAATTACTTTTGGCATCTTGGAAACCCACTTGAAGATATCCTCTGTAGCTATATTTCCCATACCAATGTAACATGCTGTGATCACCAGACAATAACCAGATGATATTGTTGATACACGAATGTATTCTTCTAATGTTGGTTGGTAATTGTTGTTTAACCATCTAGCTTCAGCCATATATGCTTGAATGTATAATATAAACTGCAACAAGAATGCATGTACATAACACATATTTTTATTTTTATTTTGGCGTATAATTGTTGTTTTTAATCGAAAAATATATTTACAAATAAGTACAATCTAAAAGTGATGCATAACATTATCAGGAATGATATTTTTATATTACAATTTACACCAATACTTATATCAAAATACTGTTCACCGTATTTATACGGTGAACAGTGTTTTTTTTAAGATAAAAATATATATATTTATGAACAGTAACGTGAACAGTATATGAACAATGACTTGTGGAAAGTGATCATGAACAGTATTGCGAAAAGTGACTTTTAGTGATGAAAAAAAATTGGTTAATGAAGTATAAAATCATGATTAATGAAGTGATGAAAAAAAATTGGTTAATGAAGTATAAAATCATGATTAATGAAGTGATGAAATTTGTTAATAAATTTTCAGATATTAAAAATAATTTTTAGTAAAACAAAGTTGGTTAATGAAATGTTGAAGTTGGTTAATAAATGTCAGATATTAAAAGTAATTTTTAGTATTAAAACAAAATTGATTAATAAAATATAAAAAGTTGGTTAATAAAATAATTAAATTGATTAATCACATAATTTTAAAAATAAAAAAAAATTATATTTTAAAAAAATATCTTTTTATTATTATAATATTTTACTATTTCGTATTGGTGAACAATGAAATATAATGTAAATGTATTTATTGATGTAAGAATAACATTTTTCTATGACAAACAAAATAATATCATGCAGACTAATAAATAATTAATTAATCACATATGATTAATTAATAATAAAAAGATAAAAATTCATACTTAATTAAAGAATCACATAATTAGTAAAAAGAAGATGAAAGATCATACTTCAAATTTTTGTAGTAGTTCATTGCATACACTATTCCTTCCTTTATCGCTTCTTCCTCTATTTCTTTGTTAAGATCAAATAAAATTCTATAGAGAAACTTCATGTAGTCCGGAAGGTTATCCAAACCACAAATATCCCATCTGAAAAATAACTTTCATTAATTTAGAAAAATATATAAATGAAATATATATAATTAATAACCAACCTTTCAATTGCCTTAGTAAAAAGTTCTAATTCATCGATTGTTCTGTATGCATCATATGTATCATCAATAATTGTCAATGCGGTAATTAACTTCATCATGATTTTTCTTATGGTAGAATATTGAGGTTCAAAATAGATTGTCAAAGCCCAAAAACAACTTTCTGTCAACCGATCTCTTGCATATGGTAGTTTATTATGGACATCCAAATCATTCCACCACCTATAAAGACAAAAAATAAATAAAAAAGTTAATGACAATGGCTACTCTAAATCACAATTATACTATTTTTGTTCATTGTTACAAAGGAGTGTGTGATTGACATCATTACTTACTTGCAAAGAATACCAAATTCCTTTTTATGTAGACTTTGTAGCATATTGAAATTTAATTTTGCGAAAAGAAGTAAATTTTCAATATGGAAAGGATCTTGCTCATATATGGAAATGAATCTTCTTGCTTCAAGTCTAGGTATATTCTTATGAATAGCTTGCCTTAAGCTATGTTTGACTTGTATGGCATGAGAATGACTTGATTGGTTAGCAATGGACTCAAGATGAGTTGTAGTAAAAGCCAAAGCCTCTTCCAAAATGTCCTCTCCATGAATCATCAAATGAGTGGCTTCATATAAGCTTAACATTCCCTCAACATCATTGATAAGTGTTTCACTAAAATTTCCTTTGTCATCCATGTATTTATTGAACACATCTAATGTTTTATCAATCAACCCGTTAGAGACAATGCAATTTTAAAAAAAATTAAAGCAAGAAATAGAAATTTAGAAGAGGAACATGATTTCATGCAATTTATTAACATAAAAACATCCTAATACTTGGAGACAACATCGAGAATAGGTTAAGGACACAATACTTGGGGAAACGTGAAGTCCTTGTTGCCTCAACAATCTAAATAGCACAGCAAGAGAGTAAAGATTGTCTTCAAAAATTATTTCTCCATTATCAACATAGTTTCTGTGAATATATTCCAAATTCTCTTCAATTTCATCTTCAAAGTAATAGCTAACACCCAAGCGGCATATGGAGAGGGCTTCTCACTCTTTGCAACAAGCATCTTTCTCACGTCATATTTTAAAGTTTTGATTTCTGCCTCAATATTTTCATCAAGTTCCTGCATCGTATTAAATAAATAAAACTATCATTATAAAAAAAAAATTGTTTAACTTTAAAAAATTTAGTTAATAATTTAACTTTTTTAATAAAAAGTTTATTTTAAACTATATTTATTTTTAAAACTAGTAATTAACTACTAAACTTTGAAATTAAAGTCAAAACTTTTTTTTTAATTTTTAATTTTATCATATTTTATAATATAAATTATATTTTTTGTAAATAATTTAATAAATTATTTTTATTAATATACCTTAAAAGAAGTTCACTTATATTATACAATCTTTCACCAACAAACTTACTTTAGAAAATTCCAGTATTTTGTCAAATGACACTTAATTTTTAATTAAAATCAACTTATCTAATAATGAACTTGATCATTTACCGATTAAATTTTCTTTGTATTGAGTTAGCATCATTTGCTCTTTTAATACAAGTGATTATCGAATAAAAAAATTCACAGATCAAATCAAATATTTTTCATGCAGAAAAGTAAGTATTTTTAACGTGTGCATTAATCTGGGCTAAAATTTCTACTGCATGCATCATAAGAATAAAAGGCACCAACTTAATTTTACTTACCACATATTCAGAATCAGAAGCATATTGAAGGAAATAATTTCCCCAAACACTAGGTTGAAAATCTGCAACATTTCTATGCAAGTCATATTTGGCATCATGATTGAAGCATTGTTCAACAGACATACTTAAATATTAATATCACTCTCTCCTTTCCTTCTATTCGATCTAAAAGTTTGGGTTGGTAAAGATATCTAAGTATGGATATTTATAGGAGTGATAACTTCTCTGTCCATTTCTAAAAGTTAATAGAGAAAAAAGAATATATATTCAGTATCAATTAATGAGAGACATGTATTCAATTAAAACATAATTTTAATTTTTAAAAACTGCTATAACATGACAATTATAAAAGTTTTGATTGATTTTATATATAATGTTGGTTTACACTTTCAGGAAATTTTTTTATTAATAACCATGTATCAAAATAATATTTCGCAAATAATCGGGTTTCGGAAAAAATTACGCAAATAACCATGTTTCAGATGATTCCACAAAGGAGGAGCCATCTGAAATGGCGCATGCACCTAGCATTTTGCCCTAGGCGTCATCTCACTTGGCGCCTATGTGTTTAGGGCATGCCCTAAGCCAAGTGAGATGGCGCCTAGGTGTTAATTTAGAGCAAAATGTGATTTTTTTTGTCTGGTGCGTTGTGTGTTTGATAGAGGATCAACAAAATGGACTTTTTATTAAAAAAAAAAATTACATCCAACTGTATTACATTAAAATAACAGATAAAAAAACAGAAGAAAAAAAACGGATAAAAAAATACAGGAAAAAAAACAGATAAATCAGTGATCCCCCAGAACCCGGTAATGACCCCCGGTTCCGCATCCACGTCCTCGCCTTTCTCGTGCTGGGTGTCGTCGTGTTTCCTGTTGCGGTAAGGTCGATGGCCCAGCGAAGTCAATGCGGTCCGGATCCATAAAATAAGTTAGATCTCCATATCTAGAAGATCCGCTTTGGTACAGTCGGTTATCCATACCCTTAAAGTTTGGTCGTGTTGGCGGTGGGTGGGGTTCCATAGTGGGTCTGTAGCATTGATCGTCTGAGTACGGTGGGTAGAAAGGAAATGGATCTTGGGGTGTTTGGTATTGAGGATGTTGGGTGGTTTGGTGATATTGTGGTTGATGGTAGGTTGGGTCGGTTTGTTCGTAATCTTCCGACATTCCCATATCAGGGCTAAGGCTGGATGTTGAGGGGCCCATATTGGGATATGCGGAAGACTGAAATTGTGTGTGGAGTATGCGGGTGTGCTGGTATTGGGATTGGTATTGTGGTTGGGTGTGAGGCATATCGGGGTATTGGTAGTGTGGTGGTGATTGTGGTTGGTTGTGTGGCATTTGAGTGTAGTTGTGTTGTGGTGGGGACTGTGGTTGGGTGTTTGTGGGTCTGTTTCTTCTTGGGGGTTGGTGGGAGGTTGATGGGTTTTGGGTTTGTTGATGTGGAAACGAGGGTTGTGCCCATTGTGTGCGTGGGTCAACCAAGTACCTTGGATGAGACACATGCATCTCCGGGTTACTAACTGACCTGTACCAAGACAAATATTGATCCGTGTGTCGCATATTACCTTGATTAAGGAAAACCGGGAATTGCAAGACGTAGCGGTGACGCCTCTGCCACATCTTACACCATTCAGGAGCGAAGTCTTTCCAGTTGGTAAGACCCCACTGTGCGTCGACCCTTTTAAGATGCCATGGGGACAAACAAGTTGGATCACTTGGTATCTCCTGATGCATTCCGAACAGCATCTTCACACGGTCGCTGTGGTGCATCTCCACAATATTGAACCGAATGATTGCAGTCTTCGCGGTCCAAGTTGCTGCATCCTCCGGGTTTGGATCATGGCCCAAACCCAAATATGGTCTCCAGACGAACTGCGATAAAATTTAAATCAGGTTAGCGCAAAAGTAATGTATAAATAATTTAAATGAACAAAAGTTAAAAGCTACGACGTACGTCATCCGGGTCTAAGTGATCCAACATATTGCGGTAGAGTGCGACATTGAATCTTGGATTCTTGCCGTAATCCATACCTCTCACGCAGTACCTAAAGGAAATGAGAAACATTTTATTCTTAGCATATATTTGGAGAAGAGATGAATAGTTATAAATGCTATAACTTGATGACTTACTTTGTTGCGTACGGGAAACCGAAAGTGTTGTTGTTGACAGGGTTTAAGGACTCCATCCTCCACCAACCCCAGGCTTGTAGTAAAAAAGCGCACCCATAAAATGTACATTTTTCCTTGACTGCATTTTTGCACAAGGAACTGTATAGGTGGGCTAAAACTGCAGAACCCCAACTATATTTTCTTGTTTTTTCAAAATTTCTTAGTAAATGTAAATACATAAAATTTACACTATTTCCCGTACTTTCGGGAAATAAAAATGTACCAAAAAGTATCATAAGATAAGTTCTGGCTTTTACTACCCTTTCATTCTCGGAGGAATTTTCATTTAATTCCAAACTTGCATAATGACTTTTCAGCTCAGTGAGTAGTATTCCCTGACCTCTTGCACCACCACCTTCTACCATATCCCTGCCCAACAGTTCTTCACACTGAGAGTTGGGTTGTTGAACCGACCCGTTCACGGCCTTACCGTCGACAGGGAGACCTAGTAGCATGTACACATCCTCTAGCGTAATGATACATTCACCTATTGGTAGGTGAAATGTATGGGTCTCTGGTCTCCACCTTTCCAACATTGCAAGAATGAACTTCGAGTCAATGGTGTAGTTGGAGATCTTTATGACATGTCCAAAACCTGCGTATTCCAGATATGATACGCTAAATGGATCGGGAGCCAGGTAGTTGTGAGAACGAATTCTGAATCTTTTTGTGTCCTGAGTTCATAATGTAACATGTGTAAGATTAAGTAAGAAGAACAACGCATTATCTGAAGTATGAAAAATGTATAACCAAAAAAGAAACTTACAAATGCAGCAATGTTTTCCCTTGTGCCTCCGTGAGTATCGCCCATTGTTAGAAGAGTCATTGTTTAAAATGCTTGAGATTATGAAAGACTTAGGAAGAGATAGAGAGTATGATAGACTTAGAAAGTTTAAGAGATTATGAAAGATTTCGTAGTAGAGAGTGAGACTTGTGTGGGTGTGAGAGATGTATGATATCGTATGTATTTATAGGCAAATAAAGTTCATATAGTGGTTGTTGGTGCTTGCATGCCTGCGAAGTGTCACTCTTGCATGCTAGGTGGCAGCCTAGGGGGTTACATATATGAATGCATGCATGTACAAAAAATGAAAGGTGTCACTCTTGCAGGCTAGGTGGCAGCCTAAGGATGTATCACGATTGGATAGTAAGGGAGGCGCCATTGGACTTGGCGAAAGAGTACAAAAATGAATGGTGTCGCCACCCCAATTGGCGAATAAGAGGTGTCCTTTGTTGCAGCCTAGGCTCAGGCTACGTGACAGCCTTTGGGATTCCTTTCCTGAGTGCATGTAAGTCCATTGGAGGTGATGGGAGGAGACTTACAACATACATGTATAGGTGCAGACTATGGGCAGGCTAGGTGGCAGCCTAGGGGGTTACATATCTGCATGCATGTACCATGATTGGATAGTAAGGGAGGCGTCATTGGACTTGGCGAAAGAGTACAAAAATGAATGGTGTCGCCACCCCAATTGGCGAATAAGAGGTGTCCTTTGTTGCATCCTAGGCTCAGGCTACGTGACAGCCTTTGGGATTCCTTGCCTGAGTGCATGTAAGCCCATTGGAGGTGATGGGAGGAGACTTACAACATACATGTATAGGTGCAGACTATGGGCAGGCTAGGTGGCAGCCTAGGGGGTTACATATCTGCATGCATGTACCACGATTGGACAGTAAGAGAGGCGCCATTGGACTTGGCGAAAGAGTACAAAAATGAATGGTGTCGCCACCCCAATTGGCGAATAAGAGGTGTCCTTTGTTGCAGCCTAGGCTCAGGCTACGTGAAAACCTTTGGGATTCTTTGCATGTAACATTATTGGCAGCCTTGGGGGTTGCATCCTTACTTAATTGAAATTTTTAGCCTTACGTTTATCATAACATTGATTCACATAATCTGTCAAATCTTCCAACCTTCAAACGTTCTTACAACCAAACCTTCAAACCTGCAAACAATCAAACATATAAACTTTCGAATCACTCGTAAAGTTCAAACATTCCAACCTTCAAACATTACAGCATTCAAACCTTCATACAATCAATAAACCTCAAACATTCCAACCTTTGAATCACTCATAAAATTCAAACATTCCAACCTTCAAACCTTAAAACAATTCTACGCAATGGCCTCCGCACCATAATTTGTCGTCAAAGCACATTTCAACGGTGAGACACACATTTGTCCCACCGCTGGGTTTTTGTTTAGAGACACAGACAACATCTGATTTCTCTTAAACGAGAAAGCCAATTTCTCGTACTTCAAAAAAAGATTGGAGGACAAACTTGAACGAGGCCCGGTGTCCCAGATATTTTATCAGAATCCAGTTTTCTTTGGAAACAACCAAGTAATTTTTTATAAGGTTGAAGTTCAAGATGACGAGGATCTCCAGAATATGTTTTCCAGCCATGTCTATTCTGGGTACGACTCTATTGAGTTGTACGTTATGCTGCGAGAGCCTCAGCCTCAGGTGACACAGGAGGTGGATAAATCTTTGGAGCGATTTATATGAACCAGAGAAAGTGTCTACTAGAACGGAATCAGGATAAACCATTGATTAATTTAAATTGAACCAGCAGAGGCATTGAATATTCTTTAACTGGAAAAGAATCAGAATAAATCTTTGGAGAGATTTATCTGAACCAGAGAAAGTGTCTACCGGAACGGAATCAGGACAAACCATTGGTCGATTTAAACTGAACCAACAAAGGCCTTGAATATTCTTTAACTGGAAAAGAAATCAGAATAAATCTTCGGGGCGATTTATCTGAACCAGAGAAAGCGTCTACCAGAATGGAATCAGGATAAACCATTGATCGATTTAAACTGAACCAACAGAGGTTTTGAATATTCTTTAACTGGAAAATAATTAGAATAAATCTTTGGGGCGATTTATCTGAACCAGAGAAAGTGTCTACCGGGACGGAATCAAGATAAACCATTGATCGATTTAAACT